TGTGTAACAAACAACAATACCCTTGACGAAATTCATACATAGAAACGTTAACTATTGTACAAAACTTATATTAGATAGGATTGGAATGGGCTGGACCGACAGAACCAAACTGAACTGACAATCCCTCTGATCCCATCCGACTTACCGATCTATAGTCCTGTTTTGTCTTAGAAAAAAACCGTAGGGACAAGACTGGGCTGCAAACACTAGCTTAAGCTTTATAGTTAGTTAGTGCTTACAAAATTTTGGAAAATTTTATGATGAGGTTTAGTATATCAATTTTTTGAAAAAATTAATCTTTTTTAAATATAGTGTTTTACTATTTTATAATATAAACAGAGAAGAACAAATAATATCTATAAAGATCGTAAATCAAAGAAGGAAAAATTGGCTTTCCTAAAAACATATAAAAAAGAGAAAGAAAAAAAGATATCTAATAAAATTACATCCATTGTGGGATATGAATAATAGGTTAATGATGCTTACTACCAAGTGAATGTGTGGAAATATTCTAAATACCAACTTAATTTGCTAAATATCGACCAAAATTTATTAAAATGTAATAAGATTCTTATTATTAAATATATTAATACGGAATCACGTGGTCGAGTCCGGCCTCCTATATATCATCCCCCCAAGGATGGAACCACCAAGTTAGAATAAGAATAAAAAGATGATCATTCTCGGGATCGAACCCGGAAGCATGGGATAAGTAAACCAAGCTCTTGCCTACTAGGCCATAGAGGCTTTCCAAAAATCACGATTTTTCAAATATATATTATAAATATATTTGGTAGTGCCTATCCAAATGAAAAATGAAAAAAATTCAAATTTGATAGATGGTACCTTAAGGTACCAAGCATCATTAACCTGAATAATATGATGTTAAATTTTTAACAATATTTCTAAAAATAATAGATGGCGTTAAAGAATTGAATGCAAGTTGTTACTTATATTTATTATCAATAGCATTGATTAGAAAAGTTTATTAAAATATTAACTGTAATATATTCTATAACTTTCAAATATGTCTGTAAAAGTGGCATTTTACCTAAAATTGTACTCATTAAATAAAAATAGAGATAGTCTTATTAATTTTTAAATAATAAAATATAATTTAAAGCATTAATCTAATCTCATTTAATAAAAATTTAGATAGTCTAATTAATTTTTAAATAATAAAATCAAATCTATATATAATATTTAATAGAATTATAAAAGAAATCGTTCAGGGGGCTATCAAAAAATTTATTTTTAGTTCAGGAGGATATTAGGAAGCCATTAAAAACAAAAAATTTTTTCGTAAGGGAGCTATTCAAAATTTTCAGGGGATTAGAGCCCCCGCGCTTCCCTTTCCTATATAGTGACTCCACTGATAAAAACCGGGCTAGGCTAGATCGAATTTATTTATACTTACATTTTATTTCTAAATTTTTTTGCTTTTAAAACATATTATCATACTTACTTCGATATATATTATTAATTAATTTGAGTTAAGCTTTTTAAATATATATTCTGTTGTAATTTTTAAAGTTATCGGAAATGTCCGCGATTATCACTTTTTTAAAAGGGTTATATAAATCGGGGTTTTATTTAAGGAATGATAAAGCATTTCGTAATCACTATGAAAATGGGAATTTTATTTTAGAACGCCTATTAACCGCGTTTCGCTTTATTTATATGTAAAGTTGTATTTTAGTTGACCAAAAAATCTATCCGAATCCTAATCGATCTCCCCCTAGTGAGCGAATCTAGATCTGAGGGGGAGGGGATCAAGAATATTTTTATCGGCATAATATAACAACATCGAACGGTAGCAAATAAAAACTGATTAAAATATTTTTTGAGTGAATAATAGTATTTTCTTTAGGTCTGGGGCCAGATGTATTATAATTAAAATAATATAAAATTGAAAGTAACCAGTAAAGTCTACCGCTTAATTAGGAAGTATTGGTTCTTCTTGAACATGATAAGTTAGTCAGTGTTAGCGCAATTTATTACATATATTACTTTCTGCCTATTACTAATCATACTTAAACGTAAATTATAAATCAATTCGTATCAAATATTAAAGTAATATATAAAAAATTTAAAGAGATGAAGATTTGGATAAAGAGTATATAATTCCTTTATTTAGTATGAATATGTCATATGATAAAATGGTATATAATTACAATTCGTATATACATGCATGATTGATTTGTATATGACATTTATAACATTAATAATATATATAATATATCTCATTTATAACAAAGAGGACGATTATTTTACTATAAAGAGGATGAGTATTCTTCTTGAACATGATATGTTAGTCCATGTTAACATGATTTAATTAATAAAACAATTATTAACAGATATTGCAAACTACTTCTTGCCTATCAAATATTACATTTAAGCATAAATTAATAAAATATTTAAATAATATTTAAATAAGACGAAGATTTTTACAAAGAGGATGATTATTAAATTATGAAGAGGAAGAATATTCTTTTTGAATGACATTTTGATAGTGGAGAGTAATTGAACTAATCTCAGGCACTTGCGATACTCAACCTGACACGTAATGATTACTTATTTCCACTCATAATATTTGAGCATAATAAATAATTTCTTTTTTGACATTGTACTCCGATTGTTTAGATAGTCATCGAAAGATAGACTAAAATACCCCTCCCCTTCCGAACTAAAAATTTATGGGTATTTGTAGCTATAAAAAAATATGAAAAAGAGAAAAATATCTATTTTTCAATAAAAATTTTAATTTATAACTAAATAATACTTTTGAAAAAGATATTATAAAATTTTGACGATGGAGCTCAGACCCTCTTCAAATTTTTGAAAGTTAGCCAACAATCAAAAAATTAGCGGGGGAGGGGGAGCTTAGACCCTGCTCGCAATGCAACCCTGGTATTATCAAAATAGAACACAAAAATAATAACAAAAAAATTCAAGAATCGAATCTTGATTAGATTTTTTTAAACAAAAATGTGCAGAAAAAATTAAAATCGATTGACATTTATATTATAAAATTGAAATATATCATTATTTAAGACAATTTTACCCCAGCATATTAAAAACTAATGATCTCGCTACACCTCCCCACTTTTTTAATAATGTGGACTAGTCTATTTTTCTGGTTTAGGGAAGTTTAAGTGCTGGGAGAAGATACTTCTCATCATTTCCCTGAATTATTATATTTAATTGGGGAAACTACAAGTCGATGGATGAGTCAAAAATTTTTTTTGTTTTATTCCTATTACATTAAAATATCCTAATTTGATTACCATTTTTCAATTTCCTACCAAAGAAATTTATAAATAGTTTTTTAAAGCCTTTTTTTATTTATTCCAATAGGCGTAGCCAGGATTTTCTTAAGGGGGGGGGGGTAATTTATATTTTCTGGTGGCTTCGCCCTAAAACCCCATTTGGGCGGGCCTTCGGCCCGCTTTTGCCCGTCCTTTGGCCGGGTTACTTTAGTCTATATATAGTCATAAAATATTTTGACAAGAGAGGTTATTTTTAATAAAAAAAATAAACCTGGAACAAATATGAAATTCATTTTTATTAGTTTATATAAAATATAATAAATTACTTATATATACATTATTATAAGAGCATGATAATAATTTATTCCAAACTAGTATAAGAAATTTATTTATAAAAGTACGTAGACATATAGTTGATATTCCTCTATTATATAGAATTGCTTACAAAATTCTAGGGAAGATTCCACTTTTACAGACATATTTGACAGTAGGGAATTTATTATAGTTAATATTTTACAAAATTTACTAATCAATGCTCTTGATAATAAATATATCAACAATTAGCATTTAATTATTTAACGCCATCTATTTATTTTAAATAAAAAAGATATTAAAAAATAATCTTCATAATATTTATCTCACAATGTCTTTAAAATATATTTTCTCATGTCCTTATCAATATTTTATAATTTTCTGTAAAATATATAATTCGCTATATTGGTTAATTATTTGATTGTCCTATGATAATTGATAAAATTAGATATACTGTAAATCTACCACATATAATATCCAGTGTTTGTATTGTGCTTTAATTTTTTATTTAATTTATGATTTAATTAGTTTTATTATAATTTACTTTTATTAAAATAAATAAATTAAAATTACTCACTTTATAAAAAATTATATTTGATATATTATATTATTTAGTAATTTTATGGATCTATTATTAATAGTTATAATACATTTCACTTTTGTCTTAAGACTTAAGACTTATCTTTGGCTTATATTCCATTTTTTAAAAAACATTTTTGGTTCACTTTTTATATATATTAATGCTTTTTTCCAAAAATGTATAAATTATGATGAATAGTTTTATAAAAAAAACATCAACTTTTACATTCTTTCTTTCAAATTATTGTTTAAGATATATGCATACATTTTCGTAGGTCAGGGAGGGGGGCAGGACTAAGGGGGATATTTTTTTATTAGCTTTCACAAAAAGTGATAAATTTCTGACTTCGCTACGCCTATGTTTATGCCTTATCAGCAAAAAGATGAATATAGTACCCAAGCTAAACCATAAATGTAACGCAAGATTATTATTGAATTAGAATGGATAGATAATATTGAAGACGATATTATTATTTGATTAAATGGAAGTAGGATGGAAAGGGAAGTATATTTTTGATTTAAAGTTCCTTTTATTTTTTTAACTTAGAGGGGCCTAAAATATCATAAGGTGTAAAGATCAGAGAATAAAATTTTTGAAATGACATATTTTCATGGTGAGAGAATAAAATTTTTGGGATAGCACATGAGGTGATGGTTTTGAAGGAGGCAATACCGTCATTCGTTTTTTTTGGGCGGGGATGGGTGATGTGACCCATGACGATCGAGGCATAACTATACCGCAAACATTTATATTATTATTTTTTTTGCAGTTATACGCCCATAGAAACGTAGAAACAAACCGAACCCATAAGGTCTTTGACTGGTTTAACATTCATTCATATATTTTTAAAATTTATTATTAATTTGTCACGAAATATGGAAAATAATTCTCAAGGGCCTTTAATAGGGGTGGGAGATGTTATATTGTTATCAGCCTTCTTTATTCTCGGATATTATTATATCTTCTATCGTAAAAAAAATTCACAACAGATTTCTACCACTTCATTTTCATTAATGTAAAAATTAATAATTATTTAATTATGATTACTTTTAAATTTAAAATTTCAATATTTATAAGACTCTAAAATTATATTAATTGTGCTACATTTACAGTATACTTTTTGTTACAAAATATATAATGTATTAAGTTTAAGAAATATATAAAAGAACTTTGGTATAATATTCTTATAAAGCTATTTTTAATTGTTATTTAATTAAAATACTGTTAATGCTTATATTAGATTACTTCAAATTTTATGACTTTCGTAACAAATTGTAAAATTTTAATTTAAAAAAAATAAAAAAAAATGTTGTGGTTATTCAAAATACCTACTATACTTTATTTCATTAGTGTTGCTAGCTTTTTCAACTTGAGGGGCCCAATTTTTATTTATAACATTAGCCAAAAAAACACAAATAGTATTTCTATTTAAAATTAGCACAAAAGGTAATTTTACCTTAAATTTGCAAAAAGAGACCATATATCTAAAAAATTCAAGTTGTCTTGAGCCCCTATATTCTTCCTCCTAATGAGGCTGCAGTTTTATTTACTTTTCACTCACAATTTAATCTTTTGAATTTTATATTTGAAGCAAAAGAAAGACCGATTTATCTAAATGTGATTATTTTAATTTTTGATCTCAATTTTTTCATAAATTTGACAATTATATAACTATGGAAAAAACATTTATATAAATATTTTAGTTAAGATGGGGGTCACAAATTTTTAAAGTAGTTAGATAAGTAATGTTGCTAATAAATGGCTTGATTTGAGATTTAAAAATGCCTAACTCAATATTTTAGTAAGAAATATATTGCCAACTCAAGATTTTGTCAATAAATGTTCAAATCTTTGTGCCATCTATCAGCAAAATCTTGAGTGTAATATTTTTATGGATATATCATCGAGTTACCCTTTCAAAAAAATCACTCAAAACAAGCTTTTTAACAACATTATAGATAAGCCAACATTAAATTTATACCAATTTTTTTGTTTTCCAAATGAGTGAATGCTTTTATTAATGTTCTCTGATATAAATTTTGGATATGAACACTAATAAATGATACTTGTGGTATCAGTATTATTGATACCTTCAATTTTAAGTGATACTATTGACTCATCCAAAAATAATAGCCTTCATAAATTAAAGGATTTTCTTAGCCCACATTAAGTTAGGATTTTATATAAAAAAAACCTAGTTTCTAAACCAACAAAATGGTAAGATAAAAATAGATACTCTTTTCTTATTTCTTTTTACTTTTAATTTAATTCTATAAATTTCATAATGAAAAATAAATGAAAATCTTTATATTATTAATAAATCATATCTTGTTTTTTTTAAATAAATGCTACAATTACATTTTAGGTTACAGAATCAGTAGTATTAATAAAAAAATGTCATGTACATCTCTTATCTATTGAGAATATATTTTACAATATAAAATATTGATAGAGGTATCACAATTATTTTCTCCCACTTCTTTAAGATTGTTTTTTATGTTATCGGACAAATTACTATAATATATCATATTTGAATTTTAATTCATTACTTTTTTTTGTCATCAATAAATCATGTGCTCTTTAACATTAAAATATAATTAGTGGAGTAAAAATAAAAAAAACATAGAATAAAGAGGGAAAAAAAGAAAGTTATAATTAATTTTTTGGCTAGCTAAAAAGTAAATTGAAAATAACTTAAAGAGACACATTTAAAAAAAAAACTAGTTATGTATTAGGGAGGATATGCTGGGGCAAGCCATGCCCTTGAAAGTGGAAGAAAAATTAGCTGGCCATTTCCAAAAATTTTCCATTTTTTTTTTGAAAATAATGTTTTTTAACATATTAATAAACATTTTAATTATTTTTGTAAAACAAATGTGAAATATAAATGAATTTATATATTTAGTAGATTAAATATTTCATTTCTAATATCTTAATAAAATATAATTTTGACTCAAATTTTTCTAAAAAATTTTTTGCCTTAAAATTACCCAAACTATAATTTATGGTTTTTGTGGCAAATAATTAGAAAGTCTACAATATTATAAACGTTATGGTTCAAATAACATGTTTTAAAATATTATAAAGTTGAGTGTTATAAAATAAAACTTATTGATTAAGTTTGTTTAAATTATAGTAAAGTAACTCTTAGTAAGTTTATAAATTTCCAAAAATTCATCTTAAATTAATTAAGATATTAATAATAAAATGCATTTAATAAGAAATTATTAAAGTTCATTCACCCTCTTTGCTTAAATTTAAGTATATTGGTTTTAATTATTTTCATATAATAGATATCTTATATTATTAGATGGCATTAAAGTTTTTCAAACGTAATTTCATAAAATATATTCATGTCGATTTTTGACTATCAAAAATAAATCACAGAAAATAATTCTTGAGAAAAATATTCTTGAGAAAAATATTCCATTACTCTTTAACAGATAATAAATAAACAAAATATATAAATTCATTATTATTGAATATTTATTTTCTTACCATCTCCCCCTCAAATCCAAATAAAAATATTATTTGCTTATTCATTTAAAATATAATAACAATAAATTCAGCATAAATTAAAAGGTTATCTAATTTATTTATCACGATTAATTTTTTTTAGCATAATTATATTTATCATCAAATCATTTTAAATCAAAATTAAAATTAATTTATATAATGTAGTTTTTTATAAAAATAATGAATTATTTTAGCACGTCGAATGCTGTTTCTACAGGTACCGAAAGTGTCATCACCAAACTCAAATCTGGGGTAATTATTTATACACTTTCATATATTGGCCATCGTTATATATGATTTAAGATTTAGGTCTGCTCAAAAAACATTTTGTTTGGGCAGAACTCAGGTATCGCTAGCTTCTTTTTTTTTTATATTTAGAGGTGCTTAAAATGATTTTTTTGTTTTATTATATGTTTTAAATTCACTTTAATTTTTATTTTAATGGTGTTAAGGCAACTCACTTCTGGCGGCAATGGCGTAGCTTATTCCTAGCTGTGCCATACATCCTTAATTTGTTTTATTTATAAAGGGTAAATTGTTTTATAAAAAATCATTAGCACATATCATTCATTGTAATAAAAAAATTCAGTTATATTCTCCAGATCATATTTTTTTTCTTTTTTCACTCCATAATAATTTACCATTATAATAATTGTTTATCCATTTTAATTGATTTTATCATTTTTTTTTATAAAAATATCAATATTTTATTTGAAATATTTTGAGCAAATTATTTAACACTTCGGGGGGTTTTTCATAGGTGCGACTCATTGGCATCGCAAAATAATATTAATTTAACTTTGTAAAACATTTATTTAATTATACAGTTGAATAAATAAAATTATTGACACCTTCAGGACCATTAAATGATAAAAGTTAACGAACGCCACTGAAAAGTAGCATAATGGAACCCAATTATTTTTTACAACTCAAATTCGAGATGTTTCTAGAATCATCGTTTGGGATAGGCATATTCAAAAACGAATCTAATATTCGTAATTTTACCAATCAAATATGAATAGTTATTCGATTTTCATTATTTGATTAGTATTCATTTTTGAATAGACATAGATTGGGATAACAAAAAATATTGCTCGTATTATCTTGTTAGAGTAAGCCTATCTAAAATTATTAAATTAAATTTGCTATTAGATTCGAAATCTACAAATACGAATAGTAATACAAATTCTTTGGCAAATGATGAATATAGATAATTTGTAAATTTTGGTAAATTTTTGAATTATTCGTTAATTTTAAAATAATATACAAATATTCATAATTAATTAATTTTTTTGGAAATTAAAAGCGACTGTAATAGAGTTTTATTTTCTCTGGTAATTGCCTCATTAATTTTTATGATTGTAATAGTGATTTTTTGTTTAAAATTTCCTAGAACCAAATTAAAATAAATATTTATAAAGATAATGCAATCTGAAAGAGAGGAAATAATAGTGTGTTTCTACATTTTGTGTAAGCATTTATTTTTTATAGGCAGAAATATAATTATCAAAAAATATCATTATTCTAAAAGAAGAAACAACTTAATTTTATTCTTCCTTTGTTTACTAAATAAAATATACGAAAATTAATTTTTTAAAAATATCTAATACTAAATGATTCGATTCGAAATTTATACATTTATTGAATACGAAGATTTTATTATTTGATTCTATTTTATAAAGACCTAAGTTATAGCCTAAATATGACAAGTTTGAATAATTATTTACAAATTAATTTAAATCTTAGGGCAAGAATTTTTTCGTGTTTTACGGTTCTCAAACGGGAACAGCTGAGAGTTTTGCTAATCGACTAGTACAAGATGCGCGTAAATACGGACTCAAAAGCATAGCAGTTGACCCTGAGGAATGTGACATAGTAAAGAATATCATTTTTTTAATGAAATATTTAGATGTATCTGAAATATAGATAAAAAATATCACCATTGATATAATTCCATATTAAAATAACTCCAATTTTATATATCATATAATAAAATAAAACTAAACAAAGGAGTTGGTTTTTCGAACATCACCTTTATCTCACTAATCAATAGTGATCATGATGTCTTACATGCATATCACATGATATTGTCATAAAATATTATATATAATTAAATATATAATCTACTAATCTACATTTAAACGTTTGATTGACATTGGATATTATATAAAGTTATATTAATATAATGTAAAAATACGCAATTACAACACGCCCACTCTTCACAGACCACATGTTACATTCTCCAAAAAAAAATATTATTTCATTTAATTTTCAAGATTCGCTTCATTTTTCCATATAATCTCCAAAATTCGCTTCATTTTTCCATATTATCTCCAAAATTCGTTTCATTTTTTATCAATTTATTTGATACCATCATCTCATAATCTTTTTCAAGCGTTCAATTCGAGTCAGAGCTCCTCGCTACCATTATTCCTATATGTACACCATTTTCTTATCTTCTAACACCTCAGGAGTTTAATGAAACATATATGATATATTTCTTTATAAAATACTAGCAATCAAAATATATATTACATAAATTACATCTATCTTAGCTATGGCATTCCTTCCTTACTCAAATTTAATGATTATATTATTAATTCTGCAGAAGGCCTCCAACAGTGTGACCCATTAGGACCACTACTTTTTTGCTATATCCTAAACTAATAAGTGATTGTTCTCTTATGCAAACTCAATCTACACGTCTGGTACCTTGACCATTGTACTATATCGGGGACCATTTGTTTAATCCAGAATTGTCTAGATATAATTAACAAACACTTTGATGAACTTAATTTATCCTTAAATATAAAATAATGCGAAATTTATTCTTCTCCACCACAGACATTATATTAGATAACTTTAGACGGACACCTTTACAAGATTTCAGTATATTAAGAGCCCCACTGGGACGTGCAGAGGGAATTTTTAATTTTTTAAATAATTACCTTCAATCACTATTCTCCAAACTATCGATCTTAAAAAAATAACCCAACCATCAAGCATATTTCATTCTCAAAAACACTCTTTTAATACCACATATCCAGTATTGCTTAAAAACTTCTGGTGCCTTCTCTTTTGAAATTCTTTTAAAAGAATACGAACAAAAGATACTACAAATGGTGACAGAGTTATTATACATCAAACTTGATTCTAACTCATGGCTTCAAGCAACTCTCCCTTGTAAATCTGGAGGACTAGGTCTAAGATCGGCATTAAATATAGCCCTTGTTTCCTTCATCTCATCAACCAAATCAGTAAATTAGATGAAGCCTTACGTTGTTGAAATATTAATGTTTTACCAAACACAGCCCCACCAGATTTAACAAAACAAAAAGATTGAGATCAAGGATTGGTATCTCTTTCCTTAGCTTGCATTAACTTGAGCAATGATCACCAATATAAATCCCTCCTCAGAACACATTATTTAACAACTCTGGCCATGAATGGTTGGACTCATATCCCAGCATTTTAAATAACCAACTAATAGATAACGACTCGTTTCGTTATGCAATCAATTTACGCCTGGGCGTACCTTTCCTAAACCAATATACTTGCATTAAATGCAATCAATCGGCAGATGCGTATGGAAGACACGCTCTCCACTGTAAATTTATATCAAAAATCAGCCGACATGATAAAATAATTTCAATAATAGCTTCCTTTTTAAATAAAATCAATTTTCTTTGTATTTTAGAAACGACATCTTTTATAGATAAAAAACGCCCTGACGGCAAAACAATCGTACCTTTTTTAATAGGAAAGCCTTTAATGTGGGATTTTATCTGCATTGATCCCAGGGCCCCATCTAATAATTCACATGATCCCTTTTACAGAGCCGAATCTTTAAAAAATATAAAATACTCACACCTAATGTGTGACAACCACTTTGTTCCCATAGCAGCTACATCAACCTGCTCATTTGGACTAGCGGAATTAGATATCTGCAAAATAATATCCAAATCAATAAAAAAATCATACCTTTCTCCATTTTATAAATTCAAGCAGAAAATAACCTTCTCTTTAATTAGATCTAACTATCAAATATTTAAAACATCCTGGCCCGACCTCACCACCTGATTTTTTTTAAAAAATCACGCATTGTATTAATTTTTTTTTTAAACTTGTACTTATATATAAAATATTTTACTATATACTTTATATTATAAATTATACCATCCATGTTAATTTTTAAATAATAATATTTTATCAAATTTGTATATGAATTTAATAAAAATCAATAGAGTATCAAGATGATATTTTCTTTCATATAAAAATTTAATTTTCAAAAAAAATAAGATGAGGTAAAGTAATATTTTTAACATAATCATTTGAGAGTAGGAATCGTAGAAAAATGATTTTGGTGGCATAATCACAATTAAAAATATATAGATTAAATATAAATACAATTTTATTAAATATACATAATCAATGAATATTTTCTTTCAAATAAAAATTTAATTTATAAAAAAATAATATAGGAAAAGGAATATTGTTATATAATTGAGGGACTTAATTAAATGATATTGTAAAATCAAATGATGTCTCAACATTACAAACACATCAAATTAATAAGATTTCTTTAAATTCACATATTTTACACCTTATCATTGGCACAAATTATAAGGATAAGATTTCTTTAAATTTAAACATTTCACAACCATAATGATTATATATTCTTTTTTACAACTTATCATTAAAAACCAATCATAATGAAATTTTTTTTAATTTATTACCATTACAATCATAATAATAAAAATTCTTTAATTTTAAATATTTTACAACTTATCATTTAAAACAAATTCTAATGATAAGATTTCTTTAAATTTAAATGCATCACTTCTAGCATTTAACAATAAACAATCATATATGTTTCAGCAATGATAACATTTCTTTTAAATTCAAATATATCCCATATATGTTTATCATTTAAAACTAAATACTATATATGTTTAATTCAAATTATTAAACTAATATTAACACCCCATTCAAAATCCATCATATTAATTAAAAATGGATAGTTAATTCATAATTAAATAACATTAGCACATCATTCACAATAAATCACATTAATAATATATCAACATTATTTAAAAATGTGCCAACACCCATGTCCACCCTTTTAAAGGCTCAAATCGTATTATATATATATAAATAATAAAAATTTTACCACAAAAAATCTCATTCTATATATTTTTTAGAAATCACCTATTATACAAATTTATATCTTTACCATAATTATAATCACTAATTTTATCTTTCTATAAAATTTTATATATTATAAACACATAAAAATTTTCTACCGCAAAATTTTTATTTATATATATTTTTATAACAAATTTTTCACTTTCCCACATTAAATACTCCATATAAATTCTCTACTTCCGTACCCTCATAATTCCAAATAATACCCCTTTCTGAATTATATTACATTTTAATAAATATCAAAATATAACCCTTTCCCATAATTAATATAATGTCTATATATATATATGAAATCCTAACTTAAATTTAAACAAATTTTATTTTTATTAAATTAAAAATATCCAGTCTTGCTTGCAACTCTTTTTATTCGAGTTAAAATTCGATTTACAACTATTATTCTCATGACAATTGTCTTTTTTATTAAAATATTTCCATATACATTTACAGACTCATTTTAAAATTATTATTTTGGAAATATATAATGGTCTTTCCATTTCTTGTCTTTTAATTTTCTTAATATCTATCTATATTTTACCCCTTGTAAAATCCTTACTTAATATTGATAACTAATTTTACCCTTTATTAGTTTCTCAAAAATTCTAACCTTTTTAGATATATAAATTTATAACTTAAAAATTTTAATTTGTTTAAAAAGTCCTTGCGTTGTGTTTATCTATAATATGAATTATGAATTTAAAACCACTGTTTTACCTTACAGGTTTATATTTAATGTGATCCATACTAACCTAGAATTACCGTTTCCATCGTCACAAGCACCATTGAAATATAAATGAAAAAATATCAACTCCATATTAAGATAACACCAATTTTATTTATCATATAACAAAATAAAACTAAACTAAGGAGTTAATTTTTCGAACATCACTTTATCTCGCTAATCCATAGTAATTGACATGATGTCTTACATGCATATCATATAATATTGTCATAAGATGTTATATAATTAAATAAATAATCTACTAACCTACATTTAAACATTATTTGATTGACATTGCATATTATATAAAGTTATATATATATATAATGTAAGATATCCAATAGTATCTACACTTTTCCTTTAAGAAAAAAGAAATCGATACTTTTGGTATCGGGCAGATATCATCGATACCTGGGATTTTTTTTACTGAAAAAATCTACACATCAATAACTTAACCATATTTTATATAAATTCATTAATTTTTTTTTAAAATTATGAATTTAAGATTTTTTTGGATCGTGAATAATTTCTTATTTTTTTAAAAAGGCGTCAGCCCAACACAAAATGAAATTTTCATTTCTTAAAAAAGTACGAATAGACAATAAAAGCAGTTTAAAATTAAATATCAGTCTAAAAAACAGGGAAATATTTTTTATAAAAAATAAAATACTCTAAGAGCCTCGAACACGCGATTTCGATATTCAATAATTTTTATAAATGTTGCCCTTTCTTTTTTAGGGGGTGCCTTGCTTAATAAGCTTAGGGTGGTATAGGAACCAGTGACTCTGCAACCAGATACATAAAATGCTATTTTTTAAAAAAATATCTCCATCTTATTATTTTTCCTAATCTATACTTTATTTCGTGCACCACCAACTTATAATATTAGAAATAGTTTATCTCACTTCACTCAATTAGAATTCTGTTATTAAAAGCCTAATTTATTATCACATCTAATATTATCAATTATAGTTGTTACAGGAAATAATTTTTTAACCTTTTAGGACGAAATACCCGAACTTATTTCGATTGAAAATAACATAGTATTGTTCATAATGGCCACATACGGTGAAGGGGACCCAACGGATAATGCTAGAGATTTATACGAATTGTTAGAAAACTCTCCACCCGTTTTAAACGGACTTAATTACTCGGTATATATCTAAAGAAATAATTTAAATAGTAATACTGATTAATATTTGTGTTAAGTTGGGTATTAGAGCCTTTCTAAATACAAAAGAAAGAAAATTAAATAATAAAATTATCCTTTTAAAACCATAATATAATTTCTAATTTCTTTATTAAACTCTATTAATTATAAATTAATCAATTTAAATTAACATAAAAGGAAAAAGTAACAAAAAAAAATTAAAGGAGATAGGTTAAACCAATTAAATTTCAAAATTTTGAAAAGTGGCTTAATATTCACAAAATTTCAATTACATATCTTTTCTTAAATATTCATTTACATAGTCTGCTAAAAAAATAATATCGAAATAATTTGAATAAACTATTTCTTTTTTTGTTTACAAGTACATCTTAAACAATTTGAATAAGATATTTCTTGTTTAACTGAATATTACAACAATATTTATACCTTAGATTAGATTTAATTTAAACCGGCGAAAATCATCGCCTTATTCAGAAAATCGCTTTTTAAAAGTTTTCTCTCTTGCAATAAAAAAACCTGCTCAATTTTTTCTTTTTCTATATTAGTTATGATTTATAAAATATTTATCGAATATAATAATAATTCATATTTTTTCCAGGTTTTTGGTTTAGGTAACAAAACGTACGAACATTACAATGCTATGGGTAAATTTTACGATAAGAAACTCGAAGAATGCGGTGCTAAGCGCATAAGTGAACTGGGATTAGGAGATGACGATTCCTGGTAATTAAGAAAGATTTAAAAAATTTATATTGAATATGTTAAGGTGTAAGGAATATTAAATAGTCATAACCTCAAAAGGAGATCCCCTTGTGGCTATCTGAGGTATTACTGTATATAGCTTAGGCCATATGGAGTCCAAGGCTTTAGCGAAAGCAAGGTAGGTATCCACGACTGGGCTCGGCCTCGTTCATTGTAACATAATAAAGCTTGATTCTCTTTCTCTATATTTTAAAATTATTCACCGATTCTCTAGTACTATAAATAAAGCTTTTAGGCCATAGTCAGATTAATTTGTATACTTAGTTGTATTTTAGTATAGGCTAAAAAGTATTTGATCGAGGACACTCTATTTTGGTTTATTTTAAGTGTTTGGTGGCATTGCTATTTTTCGTATTTTATTCTCGTTTTTTGGTAATGTTTTTTTTTCTTTCTTTTTTTTCAAAAAAAAATTTTCTTTTGCTTCTTTTTGGCTATTTAGCCGGTTGATCTAAGACACGGCCTTAGTCCTAATTTTTTTCTTTCTTTTAAGTTTTAAAATTTGATTTACAAAAAGTGTAAAAAAAATTTTTAGTGACCCAAATTTCAATATTTTAAAAATAGTATTGAAGAAGATTTTATGGGTTGGAAGGAAAAATTTTGGGAAGCCGCTGAAAAGTTATATGATCTAACACTTAAAGCTGGTGATGGAAAGTAAAACTATTTTTCAAAATATTAATAATTTCTTTTATAAGGTTGACAACCCTAAAAATACTTTAAATGTTTTTTTAAGTTCTTTAAAAATATTTTTAATAGGGTTGTCAACTATATTAATATTTTCAACAATATATATTTTTTTAAAATTTGATTTAAGCAATCGTCAATATAAACTGGTCACCTATAAATCTGATGAATTACTACCAGAAAAAATATTTACAGGAGAATACGCAAGATTGGGATCATATAAAAATCAAAAAATGTAAAATAGTAACACTTACAATTTTCGATAATATATAATTTTTTTTCTTCTTTTTTACAGACCTTATGATTCCAAAAATCCCTTTTTAGCTTCGATCCAAGTTAACAAGAACATTTTTAAAAGCCAGGAAAGAAAGTGCATGCACATTGAATTAGATATAACTGGATCACGTCTCAAGTGCATTTCTAAAATTATTTCCTTAATTTTTTTTTTCAAAATTAATGACCATGATAAATATTTTATAGCAATTCTTATCGAAAATGTGTTGTAACTATATTTTTTTCATATTAAATATTTTATTATTAACTAGATATGAACCAGGTGACCACATAGCTATATACCCCCAAAATGATAAAGACTTAGTGGATAGTATAGGTCATGCACTGAATATTGATTTGGATCAAATTATTTCGCTTGTCAACTTAGATGGTATAATCTATATTAAAATTCTTGATTTCTATCCTGTATTTGTTTACCTTGAATTGATCTAAAAATGTTCAAGTTATAGGCGAATCTTAAAGTGCTTACAAATTGAGCAGAAGCGTTTAGCATTGTGTTTTTCTAGAAAACCCTTGTTTAAATTGTTATAGTAATTTTAAATAGAGCACAAAAAAGCGCAAACTATTTTGCGTTATTTTTTAACGGAATATAAAGTTTTTCAATATGGACTATAACATTTGAATATATTGTTTGAAAAATATCGCTAAACGAAAACCTTTCAATTTATAACTATTAGCCCACATCATATCTTGAGAATCCAATAGAAATAAAAATTAACTATAGAAATAGAAAAACTTTCAAATTTTGATGGTACATGGTTTTTTTTTTAAAAAAATATGCAATTTCGGAAATATTTAATATTTTATTTTATTTTTTTTATATTTATTAACGTTTTCTCTTTTCTGTAACTTATAATATCTTATAAATACATATTTGAATTTTCAGATGAGTCAAACAAGAAAAATCCATTTCCCTGCCCTTGTAGTTATAAAACCGCGTTGACTTATTACCTAGACATTACTTCCCCATTGAGAACAAACGTTCTTAAAGATCTCGCTAAATACACGATGGATGAAAAGGAAAAAGATGAACTGCTTTTAATGTCACAGTACATTCCGGAAGGTAAGGTAATATTTAAAAAAAAATTATTGTTGGTTAACACTTTAATTTGAGCCAACTAAGCGATTGCTCTTTTTTAGTCAAATTTTTATCGTCCTAATGATTTATATTTATCAGACATGAGCTAAAGTTGGCAAAAATTAAAATTTGTTATATTATAAGTACTGAGCATTTTTAAAAATTTGATTATATCTAATTTTAATTATTGTTGATTGTAGTAGTATTCAAATTAAGGTAGTTTTTTATATAGGGTATAACACTTATCATTCTGTAATAATAGAATAGAATACATTTTTATGCCAAAATAAAAAAATGAATTAGCCTATCCTAAATAAATAATAACCATTCAATTTTATTTTGGCAAATATATTATAATAGAAAAAATAAATCAATGTATACATACATACGAAAGAGTTTTTGATTAAAAAATGTTAACCTTTTTAGTTTATTAATCACGAATAATGCAAATTTTCCCTTAAATAGAATATGATAAACTAAATATATATGTCAATAAAATTATTTTTTAGCTCATGTATGCAGAAAAGGTTATAAAAGAACATTTAGATATCTTATCTTTGCTACAAAATTATCCTTCCTTAAAGGCCCCGTTGGATCATATATGCGAATTGTTACCCAGATTGCAACAACGTTATTATTCGATTTCATCATCTCCGAAAGTTGTTCAATTTATCTTATTGAATAGATGATTGATTATTTTTCAAATTAATTCTCTATTTCAATCTTTTTCATTTGATAATTTTTTTTTAAAATAGTCAAAATTATTTGTACGTAAATTAAGATATATCCGGACTCGATTCATATAACTGCCGTTGTCTTAGAATGGAAGACTCCTTCGGGTAAAATTGTAAAAGGTAATTAATTATAATTAAGAATTAAAACTTCACTTGAGATAAAAAAATATACTTTAAGAATTTATATGGGAGACAGAGGTTTATAAATTTTCTTACCATAACTTATAGGGGTCGCCACTAATTGGCTATCTCAAATAATCGCTTCTTCAAGTAATTCAAAACAAATTACACGCGAAAATGACCTGCCAAATTCAATGAATAAAGAAAACTATGGTGATCACAAAAATATATCGACAAAAATTCCTATTTATGTGAGGAGATCACAATTTAAATTGCCTCTGAAAAAAAATTTACCAATAATTATGATAGGACCAGGTACAGGATTGGCTCCGTTTAGGGGATTTTTGCAGCATAAAAAGTTTTTCAAGGACGAAGGTATTTTAAAAATGTCAATACGATTATTTATATATTTAATTAAATTATTTTATAGTTATTAATTAATATTCTAATAAACAACCAAATATCCATTTTAAATTTAAATTGAATAGAATAAAAATATAAATCAGTTACCAAGGTTTTATGTGGTAAAATTTTAACCTTTCCACATATTAACAAATTTTAATGATCTATAGGTAAACCGATGGGCCAAAATATACTCTTTTTTGGATGTCGCAATAAAAAAAATGATTACATCTATGAAGAAGAGCTAGGAAGTAAAAAAAACATCGTTATCTAATCTACCCTGATGTAACAATTTTTTTTAAAAAAATATTATCTAAGCCTATAAGGAAGACGGAGTCCTATCTGAACTTTTTGTCGCATTTTCTCGAGATCAACCGCAAAAAATATATGTTACCGACTTGATGAAGCAAAATAGATCCCTTATTTGGGATATATTGGACAAGAAATTAGGTCATATTTATATATGTGGGTAAGTCTAACTTCTTTATTTATGATCAATTTTTTATACCACCTTTAATATCAAAATATTATTATTCAATCTTAAATTAATTCTTTCATAATTTAAAAAATATATATAAATTTTTGATTAGCTATACAATAACATGCAATTCAGTGACCTAAATAGGAATTTTTTAGTATTGTTAAGTTACTTTTTAAGCATAACTATTTTTAAATGAAACTAGTTAATAATTACAGTTATATTTTTAAAGTATCTAGTTACATTACAATTTACTTATAAATCATTTATATACATTATTTTTTAATTTTATATAAAATTTACCAAATTTTAATCAATCATTTGATAAAAAAAATGATTACACCGAAATAAAATATATTTATTTGCACACTATTTTTTTATAAAAATTCGGGCTTGCTAAATTTTTTAAAAGACACGCTCGTTTCTCCATAAATAAGCTTCGTAATACGGGATATGGTAGTTGAATGATCCAGATTTATTTTGTAAATTCCATAAACGTTGGCATGGTTCTACAATGTTATATGCTCTTATAATCATCATCCTCTAAAAGGATCTTGTTGGCGTGTTACCACTAAGTTTAATGTATAAGAACATCGTCTGTGCCTTCGAATATCGATGCAAAATACCTCATTTAAGCCGATTTTTAAATACGGTAAACAATATTTTCTCCATGAAAATATTATGCAAGCCTAAAGATTCTGTTCATATGTGGTACAAAAGTTTGGGCATCTGTTAGCGAAATCTTGAAGTTTAGGCAATATTTTTCTGGCTAAAATATTGAGTTAGCCTTTTTAAAAATTGGTTCAAATCTAGCGATTTTGCATTACTACCTGTGAAGGTAGTCATTTAGTTAACCCAAATGAAACTGCTGTTGTACACACAAAACTGCTAATAATCTTTCACTTAAAACATCTTTCATTTAAATGACATATTTAGATATTCTTTTAATTAAGGTTTGTCTAAATTTATCTTCATATTAGGTTGCAGAATATTTATTAGCTCAATAAAATCCTCATCTTTGCTGATACCTTAAAAATTTTAAGTTCTACGAAAGTTTATTTTGTTTGTTTTAATTTATTTGATAGGGCTGAATTATTTTTCTTATTATCTATAGTTTACTTTTTTAAGGATTGATTATGTGTTCTTTAAAAAAAAAATTTTATATAAAGAATATTTAATTTATATTATTCATAAGAGTTAGTTTAATTAATAATTCTATATAATATTAAGAAAAACAAAAATCTCGTCACATGTACATCTAACTAAAATTAGTACAATTATTTGACACTGTTTATGTGAAAATAAACATAAAAATGTGTTTCCGTAGATTGGCTGTGGGTGTCTTAGATGCATAGGAGACATTTAACATTAATATTGCCTGTACTACTAGATTTTTTTGTGAAATCAAAAATATTCTTCAAAGCTTGGCCAAGGTATTTTTACATTTAAGTTCTTTGTTTTTGTCAGGGTTGTGAACCATCTTTCTAAAAAAAGAGTTCATGTTCAGTGAAAAATCTCTGAACCCGGTTCGGGTTCAATGTTCAGAAAATTTTTAATTTACATAAAATGGATACACTAATATAAAAAAAATTCCACGAATTTACAAAAAATATTTTTAATATTGAAAAAAAGATTTTAAATATTTAATGTTTTTTACAATTACATATTAATTTTTATGCTGTTAAATTTTTTTATAATATAAAAAATATATGAAAATATTTAAAAAATTCTTGAATCCTGAACCTCACATTTAAAAAAGGGTTCATCTGGATAAATAAAATACCAGGGTTGGGTGGGTTTTGTTCAGGGTCCGAGTTCACAACCCTGGTTTTAGTAATAACTATAGGAGGGTAATTTCTATTTCATAATTCGGAATCATTTGAATGTCCTCATCAAATCACAAGTCAGAGTCAAAATTCGTATTATATTCTGTATCTGACTCATTGGTCTCATCAATTATCAATCAATATTAAATATAAAAAGGCACATATACAGAATTAGAAATTTAATCAATTTTTAAATTAATAATTTTAATTAATTATAACATATTGTAAATATAATTAATTATTAAGATATATATTTTTTAAGTAACTAGTTACTTTTGCCAGTTACATTCTAAAAAATATAACTAGTTACAGTTAGCAGTTACAATTTTCCAGGTAAAACAAATTACAGTTGGCTACAATTTTCCAAGTGGAACTAGTTAGTTATATTTTTGCAAAAATGCTACTAGTTACTTTAACAACACTAGAATTTTCTTTAAGGGGGTTCATTCACAACTATAAAAACCTGGAGGGATCTCCCCAGACCCCTGTTAACGGGTTTTAAGCCCTTTGGCCTGGTTTATCAAAAATTCATATTTTTTCCTATTTTTCTCAATAATAAATTCTTAACAATAATATTAGTTAATTCTAATTAAAATAACACAAAAATTAAATTTTATTATAATATTTAATTAACTTAGATGATAAATATAAATTGAGAGTTAAAAGGAATTGTCACTTGGTGCTAGGAAAATAAGTTTTAATTCTCTAGATATTTTATATTTATTATTAATAGAAAACTTTTCATATTCAACAAACTTATTAATATTTTTTTACTGAGGTATATAGAATTTAAAATATTTTTTGAAGATTTGAACGTATAATCTGAACGCCCCCCATCCGTAGCCACCACACTGATGCAATAACAAAAATTTACAATATATATTTTTTAATTATCATAAAATCTTGACTAAATTTTTGGTTGAAAATTGATCCAGGAGAAAAAAATTCTCAGAAGGTCTTCCCTACCCACTATATTTTTTAAAAAATCCCAAAATTAATTGTAAGATGTTTTTTGGATTATGATAAATTGACCAGATTTATTTATACACTCTTTACATATCGATTAACAACAAAATATTTTTGTATAATTATAAAGTGACGCAAAGAATATGGCTAAAGATGTTAACAATATATTACTTAATATTTGCGAAAATGAGGGTAAAATGACGGAAAAGGAAGCTGAAGTCTACATAAAAAATCTGCACACTAAATCTAGATATCAAAGTGATGTTTGGAGTTAAATATTTACCCGAATCTTATAAATAGAATCTAGTCCCCGAGAGTTATAAAAACAAGGTTTATATGCAATTAATTTTATAGAAATCATTTTTTTAACGATAAAAATTTTAATATTTGGAATTCTTTTTGATAAAATATTTTTTAATCATGTAGTAATGAATAGTCAATTTTATTTTGATTTTATAATTTTAACATTATAGCGCAAAAAATATAACGTTGATTTTGTATATATTTTAAAAATAATATCGATTTATTGAGCATGTTGAAAAGAGTTGAATATATTGTAATAAAATTACTTCACTTTTTTTCCTTTAAAAACTAATAGTTTCAGCTGTTTGACTTTGAGAGATTGTTTCAATGTAATATGGTCCCTCTTTCATAAATGTTTTGATTTTAATGGCCAAGGGGCCCGGAAACTTTTTGTAAAAATCGCGGTCACTAGCAACACTTTGGAGTATCTCATATTTTAATTCCTTGTCCTTCTTGTTCAAATTTATATTAAGGTTTAAACTAGGGTTATTATTTTTTGGAGAAATACCACCTCTGTACAATAAATACGCCGTTATTTGAGGAGGCGACTGAGAAATTAAGGCAATCGGGCCCCATGGCAATGATTTAGCGATTGCTAGCAAAAGTTCTAGGATGGCTACCCTTTCTTCGTCAATAGGTGATGCTACCATGACTAAAACGCGATTGTAAAATACTGCCGATTCCAACTGTGATAAGCTTTGCTTATAATATAGAAAAGATTATATAATAAATTATGTAGTTTTTTTTTACTGAATAACCAAGATGTAAACTATTTTTAAATATACCTCAGCAGAACCGAATTCGTTAGCATATTTTAATATTATGTGATACCAATTAAAGGGTATCATATTATGATCTGTTTGGCCATCAACTATGTCCTATTGTTTATTTTATTAAAATCAAAGTTTAGAATATACTTTTTTAGGTTCACTTTTTAATAAATTAGCTAATGTATTGATAGCTCTTATTCTTAGAAAACTGGTCCCTATTGCACCCATATATATTTTGACTATTGTTTTAAGAGCATTTGGGAACAACACTAATTTCAAAGATTTTATTAATAAAATTATACAATTCATATTAAAGATCTGCAAAAGTAGGCCTAATATTTTTTAAGAAAATTCGGGCCAGGTTGGGCCTTAGAATTTTTTTTAAAATATATCTAAATTTATCAATTTTATGTTGAATTTTTTATGTAAAATAAAAATATGTGATTTTATTTATAGAAAGTATACACCAAATAACATATATTGTTTATATTGAGTATAAAAATTTATTTCTATATTCAAATAAATTCGGGCTGGACATGCAAAATTTTTTTAAAAAAATTTCGGGTACAGGCCAGGCAAAACTTTATAAAGCAAATTTTGGGCTGAGCTGGGCTTGAAAAATTATGCCCAATGCAGATCACTAATTCATATATAAATTGATAAACTAAATTACTGTTTTGAATTAAATTTTCTTTGATTCTTCGATTTGGAGTTATATTGTATAAGAAATCTAAACATGCTGCAATGGTAATACAATTCTCATCATCACCATTTAAAGAGTTATTTTCATTGCTTGATAATTCACTGAAAACCGCATTAAATAAAATTTCCCATTTCTCATAATATTCTGGTACACAATCTAAAGCCTTTGCAAAAAATCTCATTATTCCTAAAAAAAATGAATGTTGAGAATTTTCAAATTAAATTATTTAATGCACCTGGTAGTATTAAAAATTTTAATGATAAATCAATATCTATTATAATATTTTGATTTATATTATCTGTTGGATATATCAACATTTTATTTTCAAATACATAATTTAACAATTTGTTAAATATATTTTTATTATCTAAATATTTGATAACTATTCCACACACTTCTGATTTTTTTGCAAATAAATCTCCTATCAATTCTAAAACAGTTGCTTGAGTCAAAACATCATGATTATCCTTAATATTTTTAAGAGGTATACACCCAGGCAAACATTCTATAAGAGGCATTATTAAATTTTTAGATTCACAATCATTTAAAGTCTGTGTTGATATCTTAGCCATCTGTATAATTAACTATATAGAAGAAAAAAATCAAATATATAAACATACTAATTTACTTCATAACCACGCAATTTAATATTAGTATTGCCATTATCCATTAATCTAATGATATATTCCAATAATGGTGTATTTGTAAGAGAATTAAAGACTTTCAAATTATCAGGAGACTGAAATAACTTTAAATCAATAAATAAAAATATTATTTTAATAAATTATTACATTTTTAAAAATTTCTAAAGTAAGTTGAGCTATATCTGTATCATCATCCTCTAATGTTTTAATAAGTGTTTTCATTAATTTGTCATAGCTATATAATTGAATGCTCTGATCTTCAGTTATACTCAAAACATTTATCTAATATATATTTATCAACCAAATCATTTATTAATAATACATAATCTAAATAGAGTTTTCTAATCCATGAAACCTTTGCATTTATGCCATCACATATTATATTTTCATAAATCAACAAATTCTTATCAATTTTGGTCAGGAACCCTTTTAAGATATCTTGGATAATTTGGGTTCTATCGTCTATACTTTATATATATGGATTAGTTTAATTTAAAATTTTTCTACTCAGATGTTTCATTGATATGATTAAATAATAAATCAAGTTTAATATTTTGACAAAGTTTTAGCAAATCTTCCTTTGATGTTTGCTCTACTAATTTTAGCAACTTAACTAAGTCTTCTTTAGATACGTTGGAATTTTTTGAGATCAAATTCAGTAGTTTATAATTTTCATTTTCCATATTTTTAAAACAAGTTTAGTGTAATTTTATATAAAGTTAAAGTTTATTTGGCAGATCAACGATTTTGCAGTCAGTGGCAGCAGTCATGTATGAGCTACATGATTAAAAATATCAAAGAATTATGATATTCAAAGCAAAAAAGGAAGAATAAATAAAAAAATTTCAAACTTCGAGGTGGCTTTATCGTTTATATCAATTAAGTTTTATTAATCGTAATAGATTTATTAAATAAAATTTTTTTAATAAATTGGATCTTAAAATGTTCCTAAAAAGTTTTATATCATCCTTATCTAAAAATTATCTGTATAAATTTAATATAAAAGATGTATGAATAATTATCTATTTAATTTTGTTATATATTATTTATTTCAAGGAGACATTTCTATCCCTTTACAAACGTTTTAAAGTTAAAGCAATATAGGTTTAGACTGGATATAATGTTTTAAGTATTAGACCAGTCGCGGGTGAGCGCGCAGGGCTCGAGCCCCCTGAAAAATTTGAAGCAAAAATTTTTTTTTAATGGCTCCTTAATATCCCCTTGAACTAAAAATGAATTTTTTTGATAGCTCCCTGAATGATTTCTTTTATAATTCCATTAAGTAATATATAGATTTAATTTTATTATTTAGAAATTAATAAGACTATTTAAATTTTTATTAAATGAATATTATTTTAATTATTAGATTAGATTAATATATATAAATTATTCACTATGTCAGCTTGCAATCAAATTCTGTATTAAAAATTTAATATCAATAACTCACTAAATATTAATTTAGCTTTAAAAGTTGAAATTTAATTGACTTTTAATATTTAATTTATTGTATTACCATAATTAAATAAATAATATCATATATTATTTCAAAATTAACAAATTTAATATTATAATTAGTCGAGTTCAAAATGACTAATCAACTGTATATTTATTTTTAAATTTAATTAACATACCTATTCCTAAAAATATTTTCAAGATCCAAATAAGTATAAGAGATTACTTTTTAAAAAGTAAATAAATAGAGATATAGTTTATAATCCTCTATTATATACCCTTGGTTATAAAATATTAGATAAAATGCCACTTTTATAGAAGTCTTTGACAACTATATAATATATTACAGTTAATATTATAATAAATTTTACTAATAAATGGTTTTGATAATAAATATAGTAACAATATGCATTTAAGTTTTTAACGCCATCTATTTAATTGTAAATAATTTTAAAAATTAGACATTTTATTATTCATCCTGCAATAGATGTAATAAATTTGATATCTTTTCTTCTCTTTCCATTTTTTTTCTTTTTCGAAAAACAGTTTTGAATTAAATTTTTAATACAAGTATATTTTTGATAATATTACAAACTACTATTATTTTAAGATATAATATCGACAATATATAAAATCTTAATTGTTTCATCATATCATTCTGGTCCTTATTTTATAGTTAGAAAATGTTTCATTTCTAATATGGCATTGCGATGTGTAAATAACTCCAGGCTTCAATATATTTACATAATTTCTTCTAAAGATTTTAGTGTTTTTATTTTATCAATTTATCCAACATAATAAATTCTAATATATGTTTACATCGTGAGTGTCATGGCTATTACTGCAAATTAACCAGTGTATATTATATGTGTTGCTATGTAATTTAAGATTATTACAACAACGGCTGAGAGAATATGATTGCATATTTTAGATAAACAATAATGGTCAACTGTGTAGTCGTTTATATATCATTTAAAATGGAAGATAATCTTTTAGAAATTTAATATCTCATTGATGATTTTCTCGATTACTTATCTAGCTACCATCATGTCATCTAAAAGGAAGCTCTAACCATCATATAGTTTTATGATTTGGATTGGTCTTTTATACTCTTTTCTTCAAAAATTATTGATTTGGTAGAGGCCTATAAAATTTTTCCTTATTAGTTTATTGTATAAAATATTGTCTAAAATGGTAACAGAGAGTTATACTAGTTTGAAAGAATTATATTATTGCATTATGGGGTTTTTTATATGCCAGTTTATTTTGTATGCATAATATAATAAATGACAAAATATGAAAATCAGAATAATTGTTCAGAGTTAACTAATTTTAAAAAAGTATAATATATTAATATAAAACCCGGCCGAAGGCCGGAGATTGTAAAGGCTAGCGACGCACCTGACCAGTAGTATTACTATCCTTTGTAAGTAGTTTGATATCTATAGTGCCTATTTTATGCAAAATGAAAATATTTATCAACAATTTGGTTGTGGTCCAAATAAAAATTAAAAAGTTTTGAGTAATATTAAAGATCTTTTGGAAATATTTTGAAATTGATAGTATCAATCATATCAATTTTTTTTACACTACGAACTAAATTAAATTCAAACAACTAGGTTTTGAACTTGATTAAAAGTTTTGGGTAATAAATAGACCTGTATTATATATAATCTTTAGGATAGTTTGAAATTTATAGTATCGATTTTTTTTTATATGAAGGAAAAAAGTTAAATTTTTAAAACAGCAGTTTTTTGACAATGAAAAGAAATAATAAAGTGATTAAGAATTTTAATTTTTTTCCCTCCTGAGCTAAAAAAAAATTGGCACTGTCTATTTGAAACTACCCCAAATGTTTTGTAATATTATTCTACTATTCAAAACTTTATCCAGATTATTCAAACTAGAGTTAACTGTGCATTTTCAAAATTAAATGGGATCAAATATTTTCTTAGGAACGCATTCTGGGTGATTCTGGAACTCGGAACCAAACAGGAACGGAACATAACCTTTTTGCCACAACGCGGCTGAATAGGAACAAAAGAAAGAGAAAAAAACTGAAATATATTGTTAAAAATTATATTGGGTAGAATAAACCTATTTACTCACATCATTTTACGAAGAAAAATTTCTATTTTTTGCAGGTACATTTTTTTTGAAATTAATGAAAATATTAAAAATCGTATAATTTTATAACTATTTTTGAAAATAAAAAATATTTATAAAATTAAAGAGGGACATCAGCTATCCTATATAAACATATTTTTGATTTATTATTCATGATACGGTTTAAATCAATTCCGAATTTTAAATAGACATAATGCCACATCAGAAACCGAGCATGTCCAATCTGAACGTTGTTCATTAATAACTGTTTATCTTCTCCATTGCTTTGATCTTATATTCAAATGTGAGGTGGCACTTCTAATCTCCAAGAACATTTTTTTTATGTGATGATGTTGCATAGCTTGGTTCTACTGGTAAGCTGTAAACATATACTATCCCTTCTGTTAGTCTACCCGATATTAATATCTTTCATAGTCATACAAGAGCAGAATTGTAAGCAAGGTTAATATAAATCCGAAGGTCCATGAAGAGCCAAAGTATTATCGTTTGTATGGATATGGATAAGCAACCATCCAAACCTATTTACAGATATTAGCTTGGCTTAGTATTGTTAACGAACGCGTTTGAAATTAACGTTCGTTCAATTTTAAAAACACTTTAATTTTATTTATATAAAAAATTTAATCCGAATTCTTTTAAAAATAAGTTTTATATTTTATAATCAACGGTTTTTCCTTTTTCACATTTCATTTTTTTTAACACTCCATTATTATAGTTTATTAATTTGAATATTATTGTTTATATTTTAATTTAATAGATTGGCATAAGCATGGATATTATTATTTCATAATCATCAAGTGATTCTGAAAATTCAAAATCATATGAATTAACACAATGACCCAAATATGATATATATTTTATAGTAACATCCTATATTGAAGGAACTATTTCAATACTTACCAAATGTAAAATGTGCCCAAAAATTATATCAGTTTCAAAATCTTTAAGTTCCAATTTAAAACGACATTTGATACGCCAACAATAACGATAGTTATTTTAAATTAAAAAAAATTAGTGGCCTAAAATATGGTCAACCGTTGATAAACGAAGTATTAAATGGGATTAATAAAAGGTATTAAACCTAACGCTAAATCATTTATATATATTTTATTATTTTAGCAATTATACATCCAATATTCAAGCTTCAATGGCTATGGATTAAACTTCCACAGAACGAACCTATAAAAAATAAACTTATAGCTTTATTAAAAAAATGCAATGAAAATCCTAGAAATTATAATGCAAGAACTGTTAATTTCGAGATATGCTTTCTTTTTGACGAGGAAGTAGTGGATAGATTGAAGGAAGGTTCTCAATTTTTTGAAGCAAAGGACAAAACAATAAATGTTTTAAATAAATTCCACACGTTAAAAGAGTTGTTTAAAGTACAATACCGCAATCAGAGCGCGTTTTAAGTATAGCTAATGCCGTATTAACTGCCAAGCGTTCTTGTCTATCAGATGAAAAATTTTCTAACAATTGTTAATAAAAAATAATAAAAATTTTTTATAAATAAAAATATTTTTTTATTCGTTATATTATATTGTATTTATAATTATATTAACAAAATAAAACTATATTATTTTTAACATGTTAATGTATCTTAAAAAATATAAGACATTTATTTATATTAAATTAAATTTTAAAAAAATTTATCATAAATTTTAAACCAACGTGAACGCCCTTTTTTTAAAGGTGAACGTGAACGCGTTCGATTTTTTTAGAAATGTTTACAGCACTAGCTTGGCTATATGTTGAAGGTGGAAATCAGGCATTATGCTCCTATAACCCCGGTAGGCTGTTAATTTTTTTTCCCATTAGATCGATAAAAAAATATAATTTATAGGTACTAATAGACAAAATATTTTATTTACCGTGTACATATAAATTAGTTTGAAATATTGAAAATTTTAAAAATTTTGAAAGATAATCAGAAACAAATAATTAAAATATTTTATATAGAGTATCAGAATCTCCAATATTTTTCGGCCTATATAGATTTATTAAATTCAATATTGAGCAATATATAGGAGTATATAATAAATTTACAAGGGGTATATTATTTTCTGAATTATAGGATTTATCAGTATAATCTGAACTAACATCACTTGAAGGCATTCTGCATGGTGGGATTTATTCAAACCCATTATAAATAATATAGTTATTAAAAATAG